CCAATTTCCTGATCGCCGGATCACTGGATCGCTAGATATTCTAATCGCCGAAGACATGATCGCCCGATCTCCTAATCGTCTAAATTCCTGATCGCCGAATCACTGGATCGCCGAATCTTCTAATCGCCGAAAGCCTGGATCGGCCGATCGCTTGATAGTCTATCACTGGATCGCCACATCTCCTGTCCGCCACATCTTCTAAGCGCTTAAAGACTGGTTCGCCCGATCTCCTGATCGCCGTAACGCGGATCAGCCTCGGTCTGGATCCCTAGGAGGCTTTAGCTCCGTGGTCTCCAAACCGGATCTGGCTGTAAGCAACACGTTTCTTCGCCTCGAGGGGGGGGACGCTTTTGGCAGATACTCTCCCCTGCGCATTGATTACCGCCCAAATCTGGCGATTAGCTGCCACCGCATCTCTTCCCTCCAAGTTGGACGGGCCGGTGTCCGGTTTACGGTGTCCAGCAGAAGCTGTATCGGCCACTCACAGCACCCTTGCCGGGTCCGCATCAGTTGGCCTGGCGACAATTGAATTAGGCCAAGTCACCGCTGACAGACTCGACGGCGGTTGTCCACCAGTCGCCTAATCGCCCAATCGCCCAATCGGTCAGTCAAACAATCGCTCTTTTGCCCAACCGAGAGGTCAGCTTGCCCAACACATACCACTCTTGCCGTCGCCCCAGTTACCGTATGCACATTTCTGTCGCTCTGTATACTTCCTTCTGTTCGTGTGTATCAGTGCATGTCCGCATTTGTGTGTGTACCCGTTTGCCGGACAGCCTGTTGGTGTGTGAGGTCGGGATTGCGGCGATGATTATTTTGGTCAAGTTGAAGGCTTCTCAAGTGGGGTGTCCGAGTGGAAAGGTGAAGAAATGTGGAAAAAGATGAATTTTCAATGAGTTTCAATTAACTCAATCGGTACCCTTTCGATGCGAAATGTTTCCATTCGACCAACTGCTCTATTGCCACGACGCATCAGACCAGCCAAACCGATTATCGTCACCATATAAGTAGTATGTTTTGGCAAAAATACACTACGCAACAATTTCTCTAATTCACATACAAACACACGACTGGTCACAGTCATGCACTCAAGCATAACAGTACCTGGATTGATATGAATTAACTTTTCATACAAGCGATTTAAAGTCGTTTCAGTCTTGTACCAATTCCTCTGACAGAAAAGTTATGATGACTACCAGCATCAGACGATTTGCAGTCCGTCTTGTCAGTCCTAGCAACCAACTACAACTCGTCAAAGAGTCAAGTGAAAATCATCACTTGGCCAACGTACCGCTTCTCTTTTTGACGAGTTGTAGTTGGTTGCTAAGACTGGCAAAACTGACTGACGTTGCTGACTAAACTGTCGACGAAGGGTCTACGAGCGTGCCAAGTTCATGTTCATCTTGACAGCACGAGTAAATTGAGAGAACGAGTCTGCAAATAAAGTATTAATTTTATTTTTTAACGTTTTATTCTAGTGGCTATCATTAGCAGG